AATATATTACATCAGGATTGGAAGGTACGTCAAAGCTGGACGTTAATGCAAATCCCTTAAAAATTATGACGAGGGCCTATCTATTATTCAACGAAAGCCCGGGGCCCTTTCTCTTTGAACCGTCGACTTGATAATGATACGCCATTAAGCTCAAGCATCGGACAACCGACATGCTTTCAGCAGTCCCCCTTTGAAACAAGATATGGTAAAAAATTTATGTTCTTTCTTTTTTTTCTTATTTTTGTTGTAACTTCAAAATTTTTGTAATAGATCTACATATAAAATATAGGTGTAAAATAAAAATATTTAACAACCTTTCAATATCTTTGTTTAATAATGGATATCTTAAAAGAAAATATTGAATGGTTGTTAAAAATTTTTAATTTAATATGTATATTTTAAATATTGTCTTACTTAAATATGTTAGTAATTTGGAAGAAAAGTCAATATGATATTTTATTACAATTAATTAAGGTTTTTGGTTGAGATAAAAAAGTCAATGGCACGAGCAGGATTCGAACCCACGATCTTCCGCAGATACGCCGCTGCTCTACCACTTGAGCTATCGTGACTTCGAACCACTCGGGCACTAACTTCCCATCTCAACCCCACCTTTTGAATTTACCCTCCTTTTTGCCGTTTTTTCAAATGTCGTGTAATCTGTTTGATTCTCGGCGACAAATGAAATGGCCACGGAGAGCTTTAGTGAAGTATACTTAATTTTAAATCATTAAATTGAACTCGATCCCCTCGGACACTAACTTCTCATCTTAACCCCACCTTTTGAATTTTCCCTCATTTCAGAAGAGAATCAAATAGATTACACAACATTTGAAAAAACGGAAAAAAGAGGGAAAATTCAAAAGGTGGGGTTGAGATGGGAAGTTAGTGTCTAAGTGGATCGAGGTCACGATAGCTCATTTGGTAGAGCAGCGGCGTATCTAGCCGAAGATCGTGGGTTCGAATTCCGCTCGTGCCATTGACTTTTTTATCTCACCCAAAACATCTTAATTAATTGTAATATATTAATTGGTCAAGCAGACCACGAAATTAGTGAATTTAAAGATATTTTATTTCAAAACAAATATTTTAAAAATTTTAATGCTCTTTCTCGTGTTACAAGTTTTGCCAGTAAATTTACATTCAAACTAGAAACAAAATGTCCTGCTTAATTATGGTTGGAATCTTAACAGTTGCGGAATTATTCCCGATTTTCTGATTTTTTTATGATTTCCCGGCCTTGCTTCAAATAAACTATGATAACTCCAAAACTAATAGGTTTTGGACAAGTCCTTTGAGACAACTGAAAACTAATCTAAATTTCCTATAACCTGTGATCAAAAGTGAACTTCTAAACCTTTGTGAAATATGGTTTTAGTAGCGAGAACTTTGAACTTATTTTTCAAAATTCAAAAATTTACTAATTTTTTACTAAAATTTACTGTGATTCTAAACTACTATTTCTAAACCTAGAGACCAGGAAATTTCAGAAAACGTACTCCATTTAATATTCTTTTAGTGGTGTAATTTTAGATTTTAATTACTTTTTCTAAAGGTGAAGAAATTGATGGAGGAAAGTAACAGTGGCTGACGGATTGATAAGGTGGAAAATGAAAAAAAAATTAATGAAATTTTGAATTTATTAATTTTTTTAATTTGCATTAAAAACCGAAATAGTGCATGTGTTTACTTATTTACCAAACGACTGCAACTTTGACTAATGGATTATTGTGTTATTATTCTCCGGAATAAAAGAGTTTTAAGATTCAAAACGTTTTTAGCTATCTATGTGATATCTTGTTCACACTGCAGCTACTTTTTCTAATGAAGAATACGATGATATACATCTTATTTACAGCTTCTGCTGATTAAGTGCGACGGCAGCGCGCCAAGAATCCACTACTGAGGGTGGAAAGATTTCGAATCAAATATAGAAATGTTTGATAAATTCATTCAAAACTTCCTTAAGTGTTTTTATTTTTATTATTAACAATATTTCCACCTTACCAATTTTTCAACGACGCGTTTTCCTACCCTTCATCAATTTCATCATTGTTGAAAAACGTACATAGAAAATCAATTGCTCAAAAAAATGTATATTAAATGGAGTACGTTTTCTGAAATTTGATGATAAATAGCTTAAAAAAAAATATTTTTCAAATTTCTCACTACTAAAACTCTTATTTCTCGAAGGTTTACATGTTTTGTATTGATCACGTATTATTGGAAATTTAACATAGTTTTAAATGGTCTCATCGAATTTTTCCAAAATCATTTAGTTTTTGAGTTACCATTATTTATTCGAAGCAAGGTCGTGAGATCTTAAAAAATCAGAAAATGTGAAATAACTCAGAAACGGTTGAGATTCGGGCCATAGTTAATTAGTACTTTTTGGTAAAATTTTGAATATAGTACGGCTAAAGTTGGTAACACAAGTAGCCGAGCACACTGTATACACTTTAGTCCCGCTAATCAGAACACTCTGGACACAAATGAATCGGCTTAAAGGAGATTCTCTTCGTTTGGAAAAAGTAGTTTTTAGTATTTTCTCGTTCAATGTGAAAGGTATTAATAGTATTAAATATTAAATGTTTGCGAGTTTATCCAAACTTTACTGAAGATTTTTTCGGCGTTGTCATCCTGAAATTGTGATGTGTGCATTGCAATCAACCGTAGTTTGAACATTTCCGGACGTTTTAATCGGCTTATCATCGAGGATTTCGTCTTTCAAACGGGAGTCGGCTTTTTGCTATTTTCGGTAGTCGGTATCATTAAACTGATTATCGAACACTGATAATGATGAGAAGCTAAAACACATCCAAAATGTTAAAATAACTAGTGTAGGCATACCGAAATGATTAGAAATTGATTAAAACTTTACTACCCTATCACGTTTGTCTTGCTGTTTTCTGTATAACCTGTTTATCACAAGTCATATATTATTGCTTGATTTTGAAATATTGCTGCTTTTAATAAAAATTAGGATAATCCGAATTTCGCTAATCGAAACTGGGATGATTTCGGATCACATCGTACAAAAAGCACTCTATTGTATAATGTGTGGTCCTTGGTGATCGTCAATCGATAATTATTCAGAAATCGTGAGATGCGGTCTGGTGTGATAGGTTTCAGAAAAACATTTTCTTTATCGTGCCAACGTTTCGGTCTTTATTGAGATCATCTTCAGGACCTTGTGTTGTCTGCATTTCAGCAAAAAAGTTCTCTGGTTGATAACCGATGCGAGTTTCTTCTCATTGTTGGCGATGTCCTTCAGGATACTTTTAGCTGCGTGTCCATATGTAGTTGAAATTTGTTCATAGAATCCCATGTTCTTCGTTCTTCTCGTGTAAAAATGTGTGGTGATTAGTGACCGTTAATCGATAATTATTCAGAAATCGTGAGATACGGCCTGGTGTGATGTAAGTTTCAGAAAAATGTCTAGTATGTTTTGTTACATCGTACTTAATTTTTCAAATTATCAAAGAGTTTTTAAAGTTTAAATTTTCTAATTCTAGGAAAAAGGCTATCAATTGGTTCTTAAATGTTAGTAGATAACTCAATCTTTATTTAAGAAGATTTTAACATAGATAATAAAAATGATCTCAATTCTGATGAAAAATGCATGGGGGACGGAGAAATTTATATATTAAGTCCATTAAAAAAATTAACATTTTAACAAAAAGGTCAGATTTATTAATAGTGAACACATCGTTTTAATTATATAAGATATTAAATTTGAAACAAAGCTCGACTTTAGAGAAGAAGGTGAGTCGTTCTTTTAAAAAATTTCTTATAAAACAACAAACAAAAACAACCCACTTTTTTAAAAAGATTCATAGCTAACGAAGACAATTTGTTTCTTCAATTAGACAACTCCATTTCTTCCAGGAAAAAATCCTAGTTTCTCGACGGAGTGAGTTAGAAGCCCCATTTGGCATTATAAAGCACTCCTTTTACGTTCAACTATCGCGAATATGTAAACATGCTAAAATTACATTGTTATTTGCTTCAAAAAGTTGGGAAAAGTTTCTTTTACGGAATCTAAAGGTACAAATTTACCGAGCTATTTTTTTAAATACATAAAGTTTTTCTGAACTAATTGTTCAACGGTTTTTTACTTTTTACATAAAAATTATGTTTGGGTGATTTCACCTGTCATTAATTCATCACCCCGCAGAACACCAGAGTAAATCTCATAATGTAAATGCTTACTTTCTTTTTTAATTAGGCGAGTTCGAATTGATATATGATCGAGCTAGAAAAGTATTTTGAGATATGAATAGTGCAGTTCAATATTGTGTTTTGAAAGATGAGAAATGATCTTAGTTGCCCATGTGAATAATTGAAAACAAAACATTTTACGTCAAAGTAGTTTATTTTTTTCGATCTTTATTGAGATCATCATCAGGGATCAAAATGTTTGTCTTCTGTGTAACTGTGCCATTCTTGCGTGTCGTGTTGAGAGTGGCCAACCTACATCACACCAGACCGCTTCTCACGATTTCTGAATAACTATTGTATAATAATTTACGCACATTCAAAGCTTATGTTTTTCCGTAGAATATATAGGATATATTGATATGATTTTACGGAATTTCAATTTTGAAAATTTCATTGTTCTCATGTATTCATTTGTATTGGTCAAAATTTTAAATGAGTTTTTTTGCGATGAAAACAATTTTTCCAAACTGGACTCATCCGTATTGTCATTGATTATAAAGTTATATGTTAAAAGCTAATGATTAATGAAAACTTAATTTAGAGTTGTTAACAATCAAAACATAAATGTGAATGTTTGTAGATTGTAGGAACACGTGTGGCCCCTTGCTTTATCCGCCTGTTGACTGATAATTTCCATCTAGGTCAACATGAATGTCAGAAAAAAACAAAAAGGACCCTTCCCTTTTTTTCCCAAGAGTGGTCATGCGAGCCATCCCATCATCTCCCTTATTACGCTTCAGCGATTTTTCTTTTCCCTTGGCAGGAAACGGAAGACTCACCCAGCAACAGGGCTTCCCGGTTGTCCAGAAGAGAGACCATACTCTGCACGACGCTCTCCCTGTCGCCTTTCCAGAGAACGGGCGACAAGCTCGCCACGCATTTTAGCCGCATACTCCCCTCAATGAAATGCTGCGGCATGACCGTCATGGTCAGTCCGAGAGACGACGTGATGAGGCCGTGTGGGTGAATTGTATCTGGGTACTTTTTAACACCGCTCTGGGGCACCTGTACACAGAACACACTTAAATTATTATTTGTTATATTACAATAGCTGTTTTTTTTAATAAATTTCATAACACACAAAGTCCGCAGAGGGACTTGCCATCCTGTCTATAAAGGAAAAATTTAACTTCTGCCCATGAATTTCATTTGTTTGTTTAGTTTATCAGGAACTAAAACGTTTTGATCCAACGCTTCAAGATAACGGATTCGGATAGGATTTTAACTATTCCACATGGCAATACTTTCTTTTTATAGATGTTTTGACAATTTTCCATATGGAGCAACCTTCTTAAGTTATTCGAGAAAAAAACTTTTTCCCAACTTTGTTTTTTAGATAAATGAAATCTCCGCCAACTTCTTAAACCAATCACCAATTATGTACTTATCATTTTCATTTATAGTAAATTTCTTGCTCATGGTACAAAAAAATTTCGAAAACATTTTCTCAAATAACATTGATTAACAGGTCGCTCTGTATGTTGCCCATTAAAGAGCACTTCAACCTGGTGCGAATTTCAGCACAATTTTACCAAAAGGACTATGAGTTACATGTTTTCTTGTACGAGTCATTGTTACAATTTCCAAAGGATGTCTAAGAGGTTTTTAAATTTCTTAAAACAAAAAGCTTTAAGATTTTTTTGGAATTATTCAAAATTCTCAAAGGTCAAGAAATCAATTTTGTCAACATTAATTCCTTTAAGCTTCTTTTTTTTCGTTTATCGTTATTCTGGTGAGTTAGATTAAACTTTTACTCATGAAACTCTAAACACAAAATAAAACTTTACGTACTTCGCGGTTTATAACAAACAATGCCCCAATAAAAAAAATATAATGGAGGAACAGAAATTAAACTCACACTATATAAAAAATTTATTTATTTGTCGTGAGATAGTAAGTTAATTTTATAGACGGGCCACCGAGGAAAAATTATTAAATATTTATTGAAATTTAAAAATTGTCGACTTTGCTAAAGTTAAAAGATGTTTAATATTCTATTAGCATTGAATTATACTCATGATCTAAATAATTTTCTTTACAAATATAACCCATATTTATTTTTTCTTAACAAATTATTTTTACTAATAGTAGGTAATAAAAATGAAATTACCAGCTGTTCGTTGATATACCAGTCCAGTACCGAGGCCGGGTAGGACTTCGACGATGTACAATTGAGGTTGATTTGGTCACCTATCATGTACTGTTTCTTCTCGCCCGATATGTGTGGCCCATTCGTCGGCAAAACTGAAAAAAACAAAACAAGATCGTTTAAAAATTTAATATCCAAATTTTTTAATTTAAAACATGATATAAGATAGATTGTTGAAAAATAAGCCTTTAACTGTTTTCAATAATTCGAATTTATTTATATTTCGTTTTGAAGAATGATTATTTAATTATTCGGAAAAAGATAAATTAAGGTACTTTTGTCGGTCAGCCCTTCCATTTTTACAATATTTTTTGCTAATTTAAAATGTATAACGTTGATTTCATAAAGCCCGCTATTTCTCCCCACCATGGGGACGAATAGAAAAGATAGACCTAGTGTAAGAGGAGATAGGGCTGACCGGCCCATTCTTGTTGAAGAAAAAGTGAGAAGAAAAAACGTGGCCCGTATTAAGTTTTAAAATTGATTATAAAGTGTTATCAGTTTATGTTTTTTGATTTTAATTTAGTTAAAGGTACATTGTACACAACACACACAGTAAGTGTTTCTGTTTGTGCATGCACAAGAATTTTGGTTAATTTTTCCTTTGTGTATTTTTCTTATTCTTATTGTAAGCATTAATCTTTTTATAATTTGTGATTCGGAATTTATTTTTTTTATATAATTTGTGATTAAGCATTGATCGTTTTTTTTATAATTTATAATTACAATATTTTTAGTCTAGAAGATAAAGTTTTTTGTTCTATTTATTCATGATTCACTGAGGTACGATCCTCCGACTATAAAAAAGTCAAATAATCACTACAAATGAAAGAAAAATAAGGAATGTTCGCCATTTAATGTCATTTTACTATCACAAATAAAAAAACCGCTGGTCAGACTGTTCGAAAAAAGTGTGAGGTTTGGTGATGAATATATAAGGGAAAGTATCGTCCGTCGGTTCAGAGATGGAAATTTTGATTGGGAAGACTCAAAGCGTTTTGGGGGGATTTTCAACTGTCGATGATAAATTCAACCCCTCATTCAACGACTCGAGAAATCTCACAAACACTTAACACATCTCGTATAAGCGTTTCACCCCACCTGAAAAAAGTTGGATATGTTTGTCAGCGATAGAGTGTCGCACATGTTGACTGAGAAGAAGTAATTGGTCTGCCTTTTATCTGCGATTTCCTTATAGAAGCGGTATAAACGATCAAAGTTTAAAAAAATTTAAAATCTGGAGATGAAACGTGAATTCTATACAACAACGATCGTAGAAAACCCTGGTGAAAACGCAGTGACCCACCGTTAACTACTCCAAAAGCAGTATTACTTCCTAAGAAGGTAATGTTGTGCATTTGATTGGATTGGAAACGGGTGCGTCAATGAGCTTTTTCCGCCCAATCAAGCCGTTAATTCTAGTGTGCACCCCACATTTGTAGCAATTAACCAAAATTGTCCGGCATTGGTTAAACACAAGGAGATTTTTCACCACCAGAATAAAGCCGGGAACACACTTACCCGATGCTACACGACGCCTTGCCACGTTTTGGTGGGGTATGCACATCTATCCGACGCAAGCACACGTCGCGTACAGTCCACAGCGTTTATCACAATAATCACTATCACAATCGCAACGCATCTTTTGTTCTTAATGCACTATTTTGAGCAAAACCTTCTAATAAATTGTTAGTTAAATTTTATGAGCCCAACCATCTAATAAATTGTTTGTTAAACTTAATTGTTTTAAATAAAGTTTCTCCTAACCATCATAATTAAACAATGTTTATAAAAACTTATGCATTTTTGATCGTTTAATTTGGTTTACATTAAAATAACATGTTGTAATTAATATAACGACAAAATGACATGTTCTTAGTTTGAAATGAACTACAAAAAATATGAGTGACCCGTTCTGATGCTACCCGACATTACAAAATGGAAGGGGTCAGGGGAAAAACAGTATAACTCCATTTTTTTCGAATTTTAGATTTTAACGCTATCTAGTAGATTTAGAAGAGACGAATCGAATGAAATACGCTGTTTTGGAAAAAAACCCGCTAAAGGCCTTTATTTTTAAAGAAAAAGTGTCGGTGGTCTGGGGAAAAACAGTCCAACTCCGCAAGTTGTAGGGAAAAACGATTTAACTCCACTTCCTGTGGAATTCACTGACTCTTGCTCTGGGCAAAATAAAAACTTCACGGTATTCCGTTATTTGCACTATCTTGTCCACAGAGTTAAACGATTTGAAACAGTAAGAGTGGTTTTTCCAATACGAGGTCACTCATACATGGAATGCGATCGGAACATGTCATACGTCAACACTAAATCATATGTTGAAATTCCAGAGGATTGGCGGGAAGTATTGCTGCAAAGCAGAGTGAAGCCTAGCCCATTTAAAGTAGTTCACTGTGGAAAAGACATGCAGTTTGAAAATTGGACAGAACATCTTTCCAATTTTTACAAACCCAAATGCTCGATTCCCACGAGACCGATTCGTGTTTTAAAAATGGATACATCAAACCCTAACATTTTTTATTCAAAAGTTTCTTATTTTGGCTCGTTCAGACTCACGAACATTGTAAAAGGAAAGGCAATAAGAAAGGGAAAAAAAGAAGCTACCAACACCATGAATCCGCCACCACTACGAAATTTGTACCCGACACGACTTCCGGTAAAAGCTGCAAAATTGAAAGATCTCCTTCATTTGAGTCAGTTCCTAGGAAAAGACGAATCAAGGGTTTATTACGATAGTTTGAAGCATTTCGGAGTAAAGGAAGACCACGGAGATGACGACGACGAGTACATCGACAACATCCCAATCGACGAGGAATTTTGAAGACGTATCTGATTTTTTTTCATCAATTTATATTTTGTATTTTTTACTTTTTCTACTTGTATCTGTTTTTTTTATTCTATTATTTTTGTACATATCAAAATAAAACATATTTGTAAAATTAATATCTGTTATTATGATGTTCCTTTTTCTTACAGTATCCCACATGCATAAATTTTATTAGTTTAAAATAATTTTCGTTTTTTCTGGTGTTCTTAGTGAAGAAACAAAAATTGCCGAAATCAAACACAAAAAAGTTTATGGTGTAATTTATGAGCAAAACTATGAAATAAATTGTTAATTAAATTTTATGAGCAAAACCGTGTAATAACTTGTTCCAATTTTAGTATTACCGCCGCAGCGAGTGCAATAAATTTTAGTTAAATTCATTATATCAAAAAATCGTATTCCGGTGTTTTGATTAATTTTCTACCAAACGATTAAAATTAATTTTTTAAATAAAAACTAATTAATTTTTAATCACTGTTAATTTGGTTGATATTAAAATAAGTATGTTGTAATTAATATAACGACAATAATACATGTAGTTTGAATAAAAATATGAGTGTCCGGTTCTTTTGTCTTCGACTGTACTCGATTTGACCAGACGAAAATCAGGACAGTGGGGATCGCAGAGCGTCGGGTAAGTTAGCGTGGCATAGCATCGGGTAGATGTGCACGGGGCAATGCAACCTTATGGAAAATCGGAGTTTGGATTTGCGTCGGGTAGCATCGGGTAGCGTCGCATGGCGTAGCATGGGGTAAGTGTGTTTCTGACTTAAGACTCGCCAGAAATTGTTGGCTTGGACCCCTCCCGTCGTATTTTCCTGACATTGCCATTTAAGATTTTCACTTATTCCGGGCTCTGCAAAACTCTAATAATGAAAAAGCTTTACTCAAGAATCTGAGAACCTTCTTAAGAACATAATTAGAAATTTACGTGGAAAATTGCAAATGTTAGTGGTTCATATGTTGATAAATAAATTTGTTAACACGTAACTGAAATGTTTAGTTAATTGACAGTCATAAAGACGGAAGTGATATTTTGACCAAGTTGTCAATAGTAAAATCTGCTGTTTTTAAGATTTAAAGATGTTGCTCTGTAAAGTATAATTGATAATTTAAAATATCATCTCTCGTCGTATTTTCCTGACATTGCCACTACAGATTTTCACTTATTCCGGGTTCTGCAAAACTCTAATAATGAAAAAGCTTTACAGCACTTTACAGAAAACACGTCGAACATTTGGATCATAGATAACATAGATCAAGACCCTGAGAACCTTCTTAAGAACAGGATTAGAAAATTACGTTGAAAATTGCAAATTGTAGTGGTTCATATGTTGAATACATTTATACATTTGTTAACATGTAACCGAAATTTTTAGTGAATTGACGATCAAAAAGACGCAAGTGATTTATATTTTGACCAAGTTGTCAATGGTAAAATTTGCTGTTTCTAAGATTTAAAGATGTTGCTCTGTGAAGTATAATTGATAATTTAAATTATCAGTACGCTTAATAAAATTTGAAAAGAAATGTAAACAAATTTTGGAGAGAAAATATCTCACAATTATTGAGGCATGTGACACAACTTCTACGGGAATATTTTTCAACATTTGTTTACATAATATATAAAAACCTTAAAAATATACCTTTCTATTCTGAAGAAACTGAATATTATTGACTGTGTAAAAAATACGCGGTACAGTAATGCAAAATAATGGATTTCTCTTACATATTGTATTATGAAAGAGCCAAAAATAGATACTGTCCTTCGACCCTGAACTTTATAATAATAACTTTATAATATGTTTGTGTTTTTTAATGAATAAGGGAAGAACAAAATAATAACAATAAGCCTATACTCATGCTGAAACTCTTGCTAGTCTGACTCAATTATTAGTACTATTATTGGTCATACAAGCCTATGGGAAATGCTTAAATTATGGAACAAAAATTCGAAATTAAATAACAGGAATAAATTTTATAATTAAAAATGAGATTTTTGCATACAATCTGCCTTCCAACATAAGAATTTTAAAAGGCTAAATTAAAGCTTTGGATGGCAATAGGATAGATTAGTATATGAGTGAATGTTTGGAGTAAACTGAGAAAGAAGGTTTAAATGTTTGGGCGTGAAATGAACGTAGCCGTTAAAACGCCCATAAAAATTAATAATTAATTAATACATTATATATATATTTTAAATTTAAAGATTCATTTTGTGAAGAAAATAATGACTCCACTCTGGGTCAT